CAGGGAGAACCCCTTCATGACGCTTTACCAAGGGAAGGATTCTGGTTCAGAAGATGAAGCAGCCAGCAAATTTCCTGATTTAGAAAAGGATGATTTTGCTACTCGGAGAGCCAGAATGAATCAGCCCAAACATACAGTGCCATTTAACGCTTTTTTAATTGGACCCTATATAAATAAAGATAAAGGTAAACTGGAAGACATTAAAAAGCCATTGCAGATGGAAAAACAGGAACATGCCAGGTGTGCATGCATGATCTTTTTCTTTCAATTATAATGCTTAATTTCACACAGACTGTTGCTATATAGAGCTAAAGACATCTTGGCAACAAAACCTTAGAGGGTAAAATAAATGCAAGTGCTTTATTGTAAAGGGAATCAATTATTTATAAATAGATTGCCTAATGTATTATTTTGCTAGAGCGTCAGAACCAGTAGCCTAACCTGACTAAGAGTGTAAAATAAGATTATAGACTAAGATTATAACCAAATCTATATAATCTATAGATCTATATAATCTATAAAGACTGACACTTTCACTACCTAAGCTGAGACAGCTCATGAACATGAATAGTGGAAAACACACTTGGAAGACAGGTTTTGCATACAACTTCTTCTTTAAAATGCTGAGCATTTTAGATGCACATTTTTGATTTTTTTTTTCATTTAATACTATTCTTTTAGTAACTTACATAAATATGGACTCAGATAAGATTTTAGTTAATGCACTGAATATATCCTGCTATACTGCACTGAATTGTGTCACACACAATACTACCACTTCTAGTAGAACATTTTACATAAAGCAGAGATTACAAGGTTTCAGCCTGAAAAATCTCTTCTTTCTTGAATTCAGTGACACAAAGCTCACACGTGTTACTGAACATAAGTATATATTATGCACACATCTCTTTCAGGAAACAGATTAATTTACTTTTTTGGTGAAAACAGTTTTATCTAAATGAAACTGTGATACATGCTTTACAATGGACCTTAAATGTAGTACCTGATACATTCAGAAAATCTATCTTAATATCTAGTAGCACTTTTCAGTCACGTAAAATGTGTCTTTCAGTTGTTGAAATTTGATGATATTAACATTCTGTAATGAGTAGTTTGGCAGGGCATCTGAAGAGCTTATAACCAAATTTTAGTATTCGAATGCTATTAATGTGGCTGTAAGATCAAAGGAATTCTGTAGTATATTTGGGAGCAAACCTTACATTTACTTTGCTAATAATATGAAAATGAGATATTTGTAACTATGTAAGCAAAAACTTGCTGCAGAAAGTTTTAATATAATAATAATGCCAAGAATTTTTAGCTTAAGCTAGGAACAGAAGTCATGCAATGAAGTGGTCTCAGCAGTGGTAGTTTAGATGAGAAGTTACAACTTCAAGTGATTCCATGCTTACTTCCTAAAATAAATCTTTTAAAAAATCTGCTTATCAATTCAGTCTATCTTCTTGTACTCTGAACCTCTTTTATTGACACTGATTTATCATTGCTCCTTCAAAATATCTTTTCTTGCTGAATTGGATCATGCATTAAATTAGAGGAAGCCAGATGCACATGGCATCAGCAAGGCAAATAGTGACACACACACAGAGCTCATTTCTGCAAGCTAAGAAGAACGAGTCAAAGGAAGAAGAGCAAGAGAAAGTGCCTGATATTGAGCGAGATGATCTGGCTAAGCGGAAATCTCAGAGTCCCCTTCCTCAGCAACGAGAAGATGTGTTTGTGAATGCCGCTATAACAAAAGCAGACCTGAAGACCTGGAAAAGGTTGAAACTGCTGGGGGACTCCAGGTATGTTTTTTTTTTTTTATGCAGACCGGATTGGCACCCTAGGAAGCATGTTTTTTTTATCACAACCCTTTGTGTCTGCTTGTGTTTTTAAACTTGAAGAATGCCTTGATGACAACCACTCTTTAGCTATTTAAATTTCCGAGAGGAGTCCAAAATCTATGTAGGGATGTAATAACAAACTACAAGTTGGTATATAATTTAGAACAGTGTAATATTTCCACATCAGCCCCCCAGGTGAATGCCTTATGGGAAGGTCCTCTCTTGTTTTGTGGATGAGGCTTTCAAGAAGTTCTAGACTGAACAGCACAAAGGTTCTTTTTATGTGGAGTCACAGCCTCAGCAGGATGCTACTAACCAAGCAGTCTTCTGGGTTTGTGACACTAGACCTTGGGGGATTCAGGAATCAGCATCTCTTTGTATTTTACTGTGTCTGTATTGCTTGTGAGCCCAGAACTAATGCATCTGCATGGCATGGTGCCGTACTGAGTAGATACACAATTTGTCACGACAGTGGGAGTCTCAGGAGTCCCATTGTGTGGAGTAGATAGATACACTCTTCATGTAGGCTGAACCTCCGCAGAGGACAAAAGTACAAAGCAGTTATTCTAAGTTATTTCCCTATGGAGATGGGCTATAATATATACAAGTGATTTCTGACTCCAGTAGGAAAGGATAGCAATTCCTTGCTTAGCTGTGTAGGTACAAGCCATTTTTTCAATTAAAGTTAGCCGTCTGTTCAGGCATTCTTCTCACAGTGTTTTTAGTGTGTGTAATTTTAATACAAACTACCACCACTCATTCTCTCGTCTTAAAGATGTTAGTAGTCTCTACATTACTTTTGAGGTGAATTATTAAGTGTGTCCTTCAAATCAAGATTAATTGAGTGAATAGATTGCACTTGCTTTTGCTTTTATGCCACTGGTGTTCCCCTGTGACAATATGGGTGTACTGGTGCTGTGCAGACCCACGTAGCACAGTCCAGATCTAAGGGGACAGGACTGGAGCTCTGGCTTTGTTAGGGTGAAGAGCTGAGTTTGGATGTGCCAAATGCTACGCTTCTTTCCAAAGAAAGGGCTTCCGTGGATGTGTGCAAGAATTTCCCCTGCAGGCCTGTGGTATCTTTGAATTTCCACTGTCATTTGTGCCTCAGCATGCTGCTGATTTGTACTTGTGTCCTTGAATCTTAATAATAAAAAAACCCTCTAAAATTATGGGAACATTTGCTTTGAGTCTCATTTTGGGTGGATTCTTTTGTTCCTCACTCTGATTAGTGAAGAAGATTTGAACTGTCCCCCTGACACTCTGCCATCACCTGAAGTCACAGTGAAAGCAGCAGCCTGTGACGATTTCGCTGTCCGCAAAGCGAGAGCAAACAAAAGGGCTGGTAGCACCAAGCAGAAGTTTGTGCATTTTGGGCCGGTAACTGAGATTGATCAGCAGAAGTGGGACAAGCTCAGTATTGGCAAAGCTTCACCCAGGAGTGAAAAAGAAGAGGAAAACAAGAAAGGTGGTATGGAGGCTCACACTGATATTGAGAGCTCTTCAACCTCTGTTGACATTTCCCAATCTGCTGGAGAGAGTGATGAAGTCTGTAGGCCACAGAATGATTCCAGGTATTCAGTGAGGCTTAGGAAATGCTGCTGAGTTGCAAAGAGCCCTGTTCTTGCAAGATGCTGATCTGCATGGTTGTGGAATACAGCATATATTTAAGAGCTGTTTCATGTGCATGGCCTTGGTCAGAATTCATCTGATACCTTCACAGTATTTTAATGTGTTCAGGGGTTTGCAAAACAATGCTGCGCAGATGTCTTCTGAGAGCTCACCTCTGAATTTCTGATTCATAATCATCTCACTGGTATCTCAAATTCTGAGCTATCACTAAAGCTTTCTGCTTCTTGAATTCCAGCAGCTTTGCTCTGACAGCTTTCAGCACTTCAGGAATTCAGCTTTCTAGCCCTGCTGATTTACTTTCTTTTTGAAGAAGTGATGCCAAAACCAAGGTGTATTGGTGCTCTGTGTTTCTGGCACTTATCTAGAAGAGAGTTACAACTCTGGAACTTAACATATTGACTTCTAGTCTATAATAGAGCTTCTATTTACTTGGCTTTTGTTTATCTAATCGCTTAGGCAGTGGCTGCAGCAAAAATATATAATGAATGCTTTTAGCAAGCAATTCATTTAGTTAAGTTTGTGTATTTATAAAATATCTGTAAGCTGCATTGAAGGACTCTTCTTCCTGCATTTGGTTTGATCTGAGAATGTTGTTGTCTATCTCACGCCCTTCTCTCAATCTCTTTGCTGCTAGTGAGGTAGCAAGGTCAGGTGCAGATGAGTGTAGCAGGAGGACACTATCACCTGTCACAGCTAATTCCGTGGCCTCTGAGAAGCAAACCCAACACAGTTTGAGCAAAGAGCAGGAAAGCACAGAGGAAGAGTGCAACGGGCCTTTACCTGACATTGAGAGAGATGACATGTTGGTTAGAAGGATGGGAACCTTTCAGAGACGTATCACTAGTCCCGTTCATATACCTTGTCCTGCGCCATCGGTTGCTCCTCATCTGCCGCCGCAGCAGCAAGCGGAGGCAGTAGCTCATGAGAAAGATTTGAAGCCTCCACGGGAAGCAGAAAGGTCAGAGAACAGAAGCTGATCACTCCGAGCTTCATGCCTGGCTTGTGTGTGGTACTAGCCTGCATCAGTCCGCAGTGTTATTCCATTCTTCACGCTGCCTTTAAAGATGTGTTTTAGTCGTTCATCATGCATGTGTTCTGTTTTATGAAATTACTTACAAGAATGTATCCTATGGACATAAAACAGTCTGTTTTCTTTCATAATGTGTAAGCACTTCAATTGTTAATTGCTATTCAGCATGAAAACAGTCTTTCATCTTTTGGGAGGATTTCTTTTGCAATCCGTGCTTTTTCTCCAAACTTTTATGCCAGCTCCTAATTGAGTAATTGCTTGCATACATTTTCATGGAATCCTCCACTTCTAACGTATCACCTACCCAGCGTGGTGCTGAACATAGTTCCCTCTTGTTCTCACTTCCTGTGCCGTGGCTAAACATGTGTAGATGTCCATCACGCTGTAACTGCCTTTTGAGTAGTAGTCCCCCCACGTTGCCTCAGCATCAGCCTGCCTTTGAGCTGCACGAGTGGACAATATCATGGAACAGTTTCACTTGTCTCTCTGAGCAGTACTGTAACCAGAGACGAGAGCCAAGAACAGCTTGAAATCTCTCATCAGCAGAGCGGTGGAAGAGAAAACAAAGTGAAATTTCCAGACCCACAAAGAGATGACATGTTGGCCAGGAGAACTGGAGCTTTTCTAAAGCAGTCCAGGCCCAGTGTTAAACAGTTCCTTCCCATGCCATTTTCAAAGCAGCAGAATAAGCAGGACACAACTAGAGAACTTGACAAGAAAGCCAAGAGGTAAGAAAGCTTCCCTGCTCTTTTTAGTTGCTTTCCTTCCCTGATAAGTGGCTCAATTGGCTGTTTGTCAAGATCTCTTTATCTGGAACAATCGCTCTTGACCCAACAGAGGTTTCCTCTATCCTTATCTTTGATTCTCTGCTTATTCTTAGTGGCTTATTCTTTCTAGTAGGTAGCACAGGTTTCCTGGCCCCTTTGGGCACAGTAAAGACTCAAACCAGAGCGCAAGCAGATGCAAAAATCGAAGAGAGCGTAGAAAGGGATATATGTGAGGAGATTGTATTCCATTTGCAGAGGTCTCTGATTCAATATTAAAACCATTTGCAGCCAGAAACAGTTGCTGAATGTGGTAAATCAAATGAGCCTTTAGGGCTTAGCTAGTGCCAGTGACTTTCAACCAGGAAATCTGGACTCTAGAACTAGATCCTTTCTGATAAGGCTTCGTATCTTTTTAAGTGCCTATGTTCAGAGGAGTAAGGCTGTGTGAGGAAACTGATGGTTAAGCCTTCACACGATGTTATGCATTGGCTGGTGAGCCTCATGAAAGTCATATTAGAAGAGACCTTGTTTGTCAACCTCTTCTAACAGAAAGAAGATACATGTGTCCGTGCATACATGGCTGGAAGACTTGTGTACATTTGTAACAGCTTAGCCAGAAGCAGAAAAACTATTTCAGCTAATGTGGAGCTGAACGATGGTTTGGTGTTGAGAAAAGATTAAGTTGCATAAGTTAGTTAAAAGGAGTACCTAAAAATTTAACCTTTGGCCATATCAAGGACAGTTTATCTTCCTGGGTACAAGCATTTTACTCTCAATTAAAATTACATTTCATGCCTCTATTCATTTTGCTTGTCAAATACCAGCTGTTTGTTTTTGTTAAGTTACAGCTACACTTTTCATTATGCGTTTGTGATTTTTCGTGTTCCTTATTATACTTCTTTGCACTGCTGCCTTTGGCTCACTCAGGCCTGAAGAATGTCCACAAGTCTGCACAAATAGCTCTGGAAAAGTTGCAACGCAACCTCAGCAAGAACATCAGCAAGAGCAGGAAAGATGCAATCTCCCTCCTGCAGGACAAAATGATATTATTTCTACTGCCCAAGTGGGTGATCATAGCCTTAACAAAGTCCACTCAGATGAAACATCAAATCTTCAGGAGGTTCCTGAGGAAAATAAAAATGAAACAGTGTCATCGAAGAATGAACATCTGCAAACGTGAGCTCTGTATGGTGTGAATCACGCAGCTTGTGCACCCCTTGCTCTCCTGTTGTGTGCACACTTTGGGATCCAGGTGTTGCACTGCTTGGTTTGCTTTCAGTCCAGACTAAAATACTGTATATCAGCAATACGCTTTTTAGAAACAAATAAAATAGTTGAGTAGTGCATTGCTTTCTTCTCCACAGCTAATGAAAGGGAATATTTGATTATAGAATATGTGCAAATGCAAAAAGGTTCACAGGTCGCAGAGGTTCAGCCAGACTGCTGAGCATCTGTGGAGATGTCCCTTGCTTCTCTAGAAGTCCTTGTCCCTTGTTTCTGCTACAAGTGTGAACTTCTGCTCTTGGTGTTATTTTATGGTAAATCCTGGATACAAACATGTTGTTTGCACAGCTAAGCAAGTTTGTCACCTTAGAGGATGACACTGATTTGTGTGCTACAAAGAACTTTTTTTCAGCTACACAAAAAAAGAATGAAATCATGTGGCCCACTTTCCGACTATAATACTTGCATTTCGTCTGTGCGTCAGTAATGGTGATTGTGAACAATGCTGTTGAATGTAACAAGTTTTTTCCTCCATTCATTTGTTGCATGTTTGTCACTTAATATATAATGTATATATTATCAACAACTAATTTCTACACCCTGTTTAGACATATTTCACCAATTTTTTATAATGAGGGCACTGGTATAGAGTGAATGAGGGAAGGGTGCTGTTCCTACATAGTTTTAATGGCTTTCAGCTGATTAGGTAAGTCTCGTTTGCTGAGTGTATATTCTCTGAACAGTATGATTCTCTTTTGGTCTACTTTACTAACAGAGGTTGGATGTTCAAATGAAAATTACCCAAAATATATGGATCTTATTGCAATGATATTTAATGTATTTATCAACGCTCTAATTTTATATTTGGTCTTGTAGATTCGGCCCCAGAACTGCTGTGTCTGATGACGCAGAGTAAGTTGTGCTCACAAGGTTCTGTTTTAAACAGCTTACACTGCATGCTTTCCAGTCTTTCTACTAATTTAAAATGCAGTTGATGCCTCATTGTTATTTTGCAGTGTTTCAGCAAATAAATTTTTCAGCAAAGCACTGAAAAATGGAATGCAATATGGCTTACTTTGCAACTAAAAATATTTTTTATGTAAAAAACTGAGCATAATGCTAATATGCAGCTATTGCTTAAAGTATTGTTTCCTCTTTTTTTTTTCTTCTTTTGTTTTGTTTTTCTTCTGAATTTCCATCACCTCTGGTCAATTACTCCTAAAGGGAATTGGGTTGAACCTGGGCTGGGTATTGGGAAGAGAGAGAGATGTGACCTGTGCAACTTCCCAGGGAGAAAACAAAACTCCGAGTAACATAAAGTTGATTGTGACCATTAAGATAACCATCAGGAAAATAAGTTTTCAGTTGCTCATTATTTGTCTTTTTAAAACTTTCTTGAATCCTTCTAGGTTAAGTCAAATTTAATAATGTACTGAACTTCATTTTTTAATTCTTCACTCTGATACTTTACTTTTCACATTAGAAATGGGACTGTGATATTTATGGCACTCAGACATATTAACTGTGCGGATGCATGTAAATTGTAGTTCTGAGTAACACGCAGTGCAATTTTGCAAGTTCTGTGAAAACATTAACTATTCTTACTTACAAACCGCAGTCATTTGGAGACTATCCACATAATAGTGTCCGCAATATCCTTCTTACATGCCCAGAAATTCATGTGACCTTCACTGCCTCTCAGATAAAATAACCAAATACCAATAACGTAGAGTTTCTTTAAAGCAAATAGATCCTGAAAGTAATTTGTAATTTTTCACCCTTTTCTCTAGTTATTTCTAATGATAAATACTGGATATGTACTGTATATCATGTACTGGATATTCTCTACAAGATCTGTAATACACTAGTGATTTTACTTTATTCTTTAGGCAAAGACAGTATCCTTTGACTTCAGAATAGATGTGATAATTTCCAAGCTGCAGATTTTTTTTCAATCAGATTAAGAGATGGGATAAAAGTCGCTTAACAACCCAGAAGTGTTGGTCTTAGCAATGGAGGCCTTTCTACCATTTCCTAAATGGTAGAACCTATCTGATCAGTTGGTTCATTTGTTTGCCCACATTTCTGCATATTAAGTCCATCTGTATTAAGTGCAAGTATGATAAAAACATGAGGTGCCTTCAAAGAGGCATTGGAATGTGTTTGATTGTATAATGTGACACTACTAAAGATGTAAATAAATCATATTTATTCCACATTGATGATGATTTTGTTTAAAAAAGCAAAACAACAACTCTTCAAGCCACACTCTTATCCTTTCCAGATGTGCATATTTTACAAAGCAACTATTTTCTTAAAACTGTCTTTAAGAGTTCTTACAAATCTAAGTTTATATTTTTCCTTCTGAAGACCAACTATTTATGAAGATTCTAATAAAACAGGTCTTGCAAGTGGGTAAAATAAATTGAACGCACATTTAAAATGCTTCCAATGTGTTTGTTAGGTCTCCTTTAGATGGAATTCACTCTGAGGAGAGATGCTGTGTCCCGGTGGCAGTACTAGGAAGTCCCTAGGGAGCCTGGCCAAGCTCCCTGTGCTGGCAGCGATGGTCAGCAGGCAGTAGTGGTGGTCAGGGCAGTTAGACGGTGTCCTCAGCCCAGGTCTGGCTCAAGGTCCAGCAAAGGCAGGACTCAGTAAAGGAGACGGCTGTGGCTAGTCAATGTGATTGCTCTGGAGACTCCATAGATGTAATGAAAGATAGTTCAACGGTGTAAACACAGCCGGACGGATGAGTTTTCTCTTGTGGAAGCAAGAGGTTGCTAGTGGTTCCCTCCTTTCTCCATTCCCCAGACTCTCTCAGGTTTTGGGTGCCTGTAACCTTCCATATGACACAGTGTGGAAGTGGGATCTGTTCTGGATCTGGGAAGGGAAATGTATGGGCTATATTTGGGCTTCTTTGTTTCCCTCCAGATTAGTCTTGGCAGAATGGAGAGAAGAAACCCAAAGGATGGTGTGTTTGGGCACTCTGTTAAGTGGTAAAGTGCTAGCAAGACAAGTTTTTCTGAAGGGGGAAAGGCACAAGAAGGTCAGCTTAATGGTGTGACTGCAATGTGGCAGATCTCTTTTCCCTAGAGTTGCCTTTCCTATGCCTAGCTTGTAGCTACTTGTCAGTCCAGTTCTCATCTCTGGAAGATACGCAGGTAAAATTTGGTGGTAGCCTGACAGCCCAGGGTTGATTTACACTTACATTTTCTGCTTGAAGCCTGACAAGCAAATTATAGTGAACTGAGATATGCTTGTTTACTAGAGTCTGATTCTTTAGCCAGATTCTCACTTTTTTATGTTTTGTTTGGGTTTGCTAACTCTTAGTATGTCTATAAAATGGTAATGCAGCCAGATAACTGCCTTGAATAAAGATTTGGAACATATTCCCATAAAAAAAAAGTTCACCATATTTCACATTTTTTAATTGTGTAGTCTGAACACTCAAGTCCTTGAGGACCATTTTACAAGGGTTTTAGAAATCTCAAGGACGTTTTTTATTCAGTACTTTTTCAGACTTTTTAAGTGCTGCACTGTATGATATCTCTGACAAGAACAACCCTAATATGCAATAATAAACTACTGTAAATTAAGAATCACATTACTCCAGAGACCTAGCCTACCAAAATAGACAGGAGATGTGCTCAGTGATTTGTCCCATATCTTTGTCAGAACAGCAGATTTAATAGACTGGTCAGCAGAAAGGCGTATTGCTTACAGAGTTTGGATGTGAAACTCAGAGCTCTGCTCATGGCAGAAAATTCATGAGCATGAGTTTTACAACCCACCCCCCATCTACCTGCACTCCCGGTGCTTGCTGACCGGGACATGGTTGGAAGAAGGAATACATTTAGCTCTATTCATACAGGTATTAGTGTCAGATTGGAGTCATTTGCAGCTTATACAAGAAAGAGAAATGGGAAGAATTGATGTAGGATTCATAATAAAACTATCTTTTGGCAGAAAGCCAGAGTTCCAGTTTCTTGGATAGTTTTCTGGGGATGCATTTGCCAGGCAGAGGTCAGTGTAGACCTTTCATTTGTCCTTTTCAGTGTGTTCAGGGACCTAGGTGGCTTTTATAGTGGCTATTACGTGTTGATCAGAGCAGAGCACGGTGCTCTCTTGGGAATATGTGTCTGCAAAATTACATCATGTGACTGCAGAGCTGGCATTAGGGTGAACCTGTCAGGTTGCTTATCTGTGGCAGTGAAGGCCCAGCAGCAGGAGGTGACAACTAGAGTACAAGCTGCATATGGAGTCCCAGGGCATAATTTGATTCCTGGCCTAGGTTGCAGCCTTTCCTAGAGTGCTTTTTTACTGTATCGATAACAGACATAAAACCTTTGTTTTACTGTCTTTATGCACCCTGAGAGACCTGAGTGATGCAGGGAAGAAATAGTAGCCTCTCATTAGGACCTCAGAAGACTGTTGGTATAAAAATATTTTTATTCTCCCATCGCAAACAGATGGCTAGTACTCATGGACTCTGCTAGAAGCAGTTACCAGCAATTGATGTCTCCTGCTTTTCTTTAGTGTATGTGAATGAAAAATTCTTTGAATGAAGGGTACAGGAAGGGAGCTATGCAACCACTTTAACCCAGTAGCCACAAGGTGCCATAGACTTTTTCTTAATACGAGTTTCAAAAGCTCTTAAACTGGAACAAACCCACCTAGGGTGACTTTGTTTAATAAATTTATGCATCTCCCACCCTTTCCCACGAAGTATGGGTGATATTTAAATATCCCATAATAGGTGACGTGCCTTTAGTTTTGAAAACAACTACAAAATTGTCTGTCTCTCTAGTCTGTTTTTAAGAGTTTTCCAATCCAATCCTGAGCAAAGAACTCGTTAAATTACCCCAACCCAAATTAGTGTGCTGCTCCTCAACACTCGGTTTAAGAGCTGAAGCTGGGCGGTAATGCTGACCTTGTTGCTCATGCTGGAAGGCACTTGCGTGTGTGTTCTGTCCTTCATTTCTGAACAAATGCCTACTAACCAGGGTGGGATCTGTGCACTGGCCAAACCTTTCATTCCTGAGAGAGGTTCATTCACGTTTTCGCTTGCTTGAATATAAATGTGGGGTTCATTTATGTCTTTGCTTGCCTAAATATACATGTGGGCTAAATTTATATACGCGCAGCTTTCCATGTGTATTGTCTTTGATTCCTATGTACATAGCTGCCTGCCATTTTATCTTTGTTCGGTGCTTCTCCTGCTAATTGGCTCACTTAAGCTACAGATGATCTTTTGAAGATGGCTGTGAAAAATTACCTCATGTGGAATTGCATGGCTTTTTTTTTTTTTTGCTTTTGCTTTTAATGGCACAACTGAGGTCATTTTTTTAGTAGTAATAGGTAGTGAGGATGGGGAAATTAAAGCACATCATCTTCATGTGTACATCCTTAGGTAACGTGAGTATGTGTGATATCAAACTAGGACCCTTTTCTCTTCTAACTTTTGAAAGGTCAAGGACAGAAATAGAATGTGTATAAAGAAATCGTTGGGGCCTGGACGTGAATGTTTGTTGTGCAGTTAGCTTTTCCTTTGTTAGATGAGATGTATTAATAAGTTGGTGTTGATAGCATTGAGTTTCTCAAAGCAGGGAGGGGAAGGGCAGAGGAGGAAGTAGCATGTTGTTTGCACTGCATGTCCTTCTCCGGGCAGGCTCTCCCAGCTCCTGTAACAATAGCCCGTAGCCTGTCGTGCTGCCCACAATGTACTTCTCAAGCCTCTCTTGTTTTACAATGCAGTGAAAGCTTATCTCTGCAACACAAGAACGATTGGAGGGCTTTTGAAAACTGATTGGGAAGTTGATCTTCAGAGAGTTAAATATTCTGAAAACAGCTCTGAATAGAATATTTTTGATAAGAGCTATTATTGTTGGAGTTTTAAAAGATAGTGTTGGCGTTTTAATGTTCGTAGCGCTATTTAGTGGGAGATGGAGTTGCTGTCAACTAACTGTAACAAGAGAAGACTGAGGAGTATAGTGCCTGAAGTACGATGTGGAAGTCACAGGGATGCTAACTGGTCCTTCTGATGGACTGCTGCTTTTGGGAGCTTCTAAACGGTGCAGGTGTTTGATTCTGCTGTAGCACCCTCATGTGGCCTTGACTCCAAAATGCTGAAGGAATACAAGCTGTAACAGTGCGCTTCTTGTTATCCCCCCTTTGTTTAGGAGCGTGAGCATGTTTGACATGAGGTGTGAAGATGAAGCTGTGACGCAGCCTCATAGCAAAGCTCGCCATGAAAAACTGCAGAATATACACAACCAACTCAAAGAGGATGAGACTAGATGGCAAGATGTGAGTATACAACATTATCCCCAGAAGCAGCATTGAGGCTGGCTACCGAGGCAAAAGGAAAACCTGCTAAATTTACAGTTGCTTTCTAATGCTCTACTAAAAATAATAAGGATTTATTTTTCTTTGTTTGTGTTTTTCAGTGGGTTATTTCTAAAAGCATAAAAGTTCATAATTTTGATGTAAATTACAGAATGTAAGGTCTTCAAGTCCCTCTGTATGTGTGCCTGGTATTTTGCTTCATAAGAAAATATAGTTGAACTGTGGCTTGTAAAAATGGAAGCAGACTGGTTGTGTGATGAATTCTGTATTTTTTATAGTATGTGAATATCACAAGTGACACAACAGAAGACGGATCAGGAGGATAAAGGCCTGGACTGGTCTTGGATGGATACAGAAAATGCCTTCCATCTTATCCAAGCAAACATTTTTTAACTTAGATACACCCTGCTTGTATTACAAGCCCCTTCAGAACATTGCTTAATACATCACACGTTAGGTAAAGGAGTAGGTAAAACATTGCTTCTTACTTAACATGTTTTCTAAGCTGTCCTGGCATTTTGCATTGTGTCCAGGAAATTAATAACTAAGTACCTTAGGATCAGAAAAGCATTGTGAATGATTTGTGGTTGGGCTAGCATCAGGAATTCCAATATCAATCATGCTAATTCCTGAAAGCCTGATTTTAAATGAGCATTTTGGGATATAAAAAAAAATGCATTGAATTCAAGTAGTTGATATGGCAATTCCCATTATAAAACAGCTACTATGAAGAATCTCAGAGATGTTTCTGATAGAAATTTCAAGGAAAATGCAAAAAAAAGAACAGTATATACAACTAAGAAATAACTGTCAGTAGAACAATGAGGAGATCACAATGAGTGATTTGTTTGTGTGGGAAGCCATAATTTCCCAGCAGAGATAAGAATGGGTCCAAAGGAATTCAAGAGGTTTGAGAGCTCTTTCCTGTTGAATGGAAAATGCTCTTAGCTAATATGCACTGGTTGTCCAGGCCCTTAGCACCTTATACACCAAACTGAAAATTCTGAAGAGCTGCTAAAAATGGCCTCACTGGAATGTCCTTGGCATTCAGCAGGTTTTGTAGAGACAACACTACATTCATGGTCTGATATTCTTTATATGCCCATGCTGTAAATTTGCCAGCAATTAGCAGTTTCATAGCTTTTTACTATTATTGTTATTCTAAAGCATCAGAGCTGGAAAAGATAAACATGTCTGGTTTTTAATTACAAAAAGAGGAAGAAGGCTTATGTTATGGAATTTGCTAATGAAAAACTTATTTCCAAACAATAGGCAATAGTGGGATAGCCGAACAAAGAAATGCTTTTGTACTTCAATGAGAATAATCAGTAACTGAGGAAAATGAAAGACCACGTTTCAAGGAGGGGATTATAGACTGATATATGTAGGTCATGTGGAGAAATACTTTAATGAGCATTCCCTTGAGTGTAACATCAATAATTTGTGGTTTTAAGACCACATTTTAAATTAGAAATGAGAAGATTTTTCCTGGTTTTAATAAAATAAGCTATGCTTACAGTACCTTCTGCTGTTTACCAATAAAAATGCAATTAAAATATTTGGAAAAACACGATTTATGAAATAGTATTTGAATTGTGTATGTACACAGAATCACTGTTTTTATTAAAACCAGAATTCATTAGAATACATGGAATATAATCTGTACACTGTTTTCCCAGTGTTGTAAAGTTAATGACAAATGTGCCCTTTCAGTTTCCTGTAAAGTTCTTTTCTTCACAGAAGTACTACAGAAGTTATTTTTTACAACAGAACTTTATTCTTTTATTGTTTCGTTGCAGAGAAACCTTATGGTTTAGAAACATTTCTTTGCTGTAATATTTTACTGTGAAATTAATCTTGTCTCTGCACTCTCCATGACTTGTGAATTCGTAACACAGGCTAGATGCAAAAATAGATACCCGTAGCAAGTATCTTCTGTGGCTCTCTGTGTCTTTGTGTAAGGCTGATTTTGCAGGAAGGGTGAAGAACCAGAATTGGTGGTTCTGGACAATTTTAGATGGGCAATTTTCAAAAAGAATAGGATTGCTGCCCCAACAAGGGCGTGGCAACACAGATCTGTGCCAAATATAGTATTTTTGGTCTGTTATGTCTCAGGTCAACCAGGTTTGAACCACTTCAGTCCATAACATGTGTTGCTTGGAGCCAGAGCCAAAGTACTGTAGGATGCCCATGAGGAAGAGTTTAAGCCTGTTTTCTGGCTGAACACTCCTGATCAGCAATCCTTCCATGTAGTTGGCTGACACCAACAGAAATAAGAAATTCTCACTCTGTCCTATTGTAGGAAAAAAATCAAGCAATGTCTTAATTTTATAGTATAATCTTCTTTTCCCTTTGAAATAAAAGGTGTTGCATCAAATGTCCATGCAGGTAATGTCTGCCTAGTCAGTAGCTGGGAGTGAGTGAGAATAACAAAGTGGCTAGCTGGGTTCGTTGCTTTCTGTGGCCAGTTTTCATCTGTTTGCAACCCTGCATTCAGGTGCCTGTCTTCTTTCATAGGACCTTGCTCGGTGGAAGAGTCGCCGAAGGAGTGCTTCACAAGATTTAATAAAAAAAGAAGCAGAGAGAAAGAAAATGGAAAGGTTGTTGTCTGGAGAGGGAACAAACGAGCGAAGAAAAAGCATCAAAACCTACCGAGAAATTGTGGAAGAGAAGTACGTTGTTTTACTGCAGTGCTGCATGCATGCGTGGCTAAAAATGCTGTGTACTTCATAGGCAAAATATAACGGTGGGCAGCCGTGCCCATAAGGCTTGAGCTGAGGGAGGGGGAAGGATGGGCCTGGAGCTGAGGAAATGGGAATGGTTGCCAGTGTTAGTTTTCACGTGGTGTTTTTTCTTGTGCTGTCTCCCTTGCAGAGAGAGGCGAGAGAGGGAGCTTCATGAGGCATACAAGAATGCAAAGTCCCAGGAGGAAGCTGAGAGCATCCTCCAGCAGTACATCGAAAGATTCACCATTAGCGAAGCTGTCCTTGAGCGCCTGCAAATGCCAAAAATTCTGGAGAGAAGCCATTCAGTGGAGCCAGATTCCCCACTGAAAGACCCAAATCCTCTAAGATACTTAAGGCAGCAGTCGCTGCCTGCTCCAAAATTCACTGCCACCATTGAAGCAACCATTATTCCAACCACTGAGTTAGAGCCCAGTGGTTCGACGGGCCGCACATCTCCGAGCAAAACTGTTGTCTCCAAGGCTGTGCCTATGCTGACACCCAAGCCTTACTCACAACCCAAAAATACACAGCAAGTTTTAAAAAATTTTAAGGTAGGATGTGTTACATTGCCCCGAATTAGTTAGGAGACAGAGGAATGTCCAAATCATCTGCATATTTAAATGTGTAATGCCATTTAGCTGAAAAACAGTAGCAACATTCTGATGTGTTGTATATTAGTTTTGTGCTCTGTGCTTCCCAATCACCCTTGCTTACCAGCATCTTCTGAAACTTGATCTGTTCAGAATGGAAAATTTCTGCAAGACATCCTTCCTCAGGATAGATTTGTTTGGGTAAGGGCAGGGGGAGAAGAATCTTAAGAAAAAAATAAGGCATTTAGTGAGAAAGAGATTAGGAAAAATATGTTGTGGGCTGTTTGGTTGGTTTGTGGTTTTTTGTTGTTTTTTTGTTTTGTTTTTTTGTTTTAACAGAGAGGAAGGGTGGGAATTTGGAGGCCCTAAAGTTTGGAGCAAGGCCCGAACTGACTTTTACATCAGGGATTTGATTTTTGCCATGCCCAAATAGGTCTGTCCAATTCAACCAAATCATAAGGCTTTGAAACGTTACAGTGTGCCTGTATTCACTGACAACTCCCTGCCCCTTCTGCTCTGAGGAGCAGCTGGCCCACAGATGCTGCCTGTTCTGCTTCTCACCAGGGTTGGGGAATGGGCAAAGATGCTTCACTAGAGTAAAGAGAGGTTATAAACTGTCCATGCGGTATAGGGAGAACATATTGGTGGAATCATGCCTGTGACAAAACTTGAGCTTACCCGAGCTTTTACCCTTGTAGTAGCCGCTGCCCTTGGCATTATGAAGCTTCCTGGCAGGCATCTCCCAAGCCTGCATAGTCCTGGTCCCCTTGTGTCTGCCATCACTGTAACTTTGCTAGCAGCACAGGAGGACCTCAGAAGGCCTGCTGATGCCCGGGCTAGAGACAACATTGCTACCCTATCTATTCAGGTGGTTTGTTTCTTTAAAATACTAGTCAGCTTTGTACAGATAGTGACAAAGGGTGTTTCAATGTCCATTTTTCTTGAAGTCTGCCTCAACTGTTGTGAAAAGCCTCCCCGATTCCCAATGTTTACTGGTTAAAATGCAGAACTAGTAACTCCTGTCTCTTTATACCTGAGCTGGTCTTTTCCTGGAGTTTACATTTTAGTCACTGCTTTAGTTACTCATCGATTTTCTTTTTTTTCCTGATCTTTGACATATTTTTTCCTGGTAGGACTAGGGTATGTATATATTACACCTACACATATTAATGCATGTGTTCACATATAGAAACTACCATAGAGATGCTTTCCCCCTCAGTCACCCCTAAGAGTCTGTTTAGATCCTGTTTGCTTGATGTGGAACAATGTGATTGATCTTAACAAGATAAATCTATTCTCTAGAATAGCTACAGACTTACTTCACCCTGAAACACCAGTTTATCAGCAATTGTCTGCTCTGGTGACAATATGTTGACTTGCTCCAGATCAGGAGGAGAGCAGAGTGTTTGTTTAACTCTGCAGCCAGGGCATCTGTCCTGATCATTCAAACAGTTGGTTTTCCTCCCTAATATAAATAGAGAAATGTCTTAGTCTAAACAGAGACATGAAAATGGATGGTCTGGCCTGCCAGTGTTTTTCTGGCTTTTTCTATTTTTGAGAGCTTTCATGACATGCCTCTCTTGTAGATAATCCAGCACACAGTCCCAAAAGACTTGGGGTTCAACATCTACCCACACTTGCAGTTAGAAATAAGCCTTATGAGTAGTTATATGTTGAGTAGATGATGGCAATGGGAAAAGACAAGGAACTTTTTTCATATGAAAAAGTTGTCTGAGCTCTTGAAAATCTTGTGGATCCTGCCTGCTTCTCCCCTGCCTAGGAGCTGGCTGTGAGAGGTGCTAGTTGACTTTACCTCCTTGCACTTCTGCAGGAGCTGAGGGTGCCCAGTGCTTCTGAGATGACCCCTTAGTTAATCACCTTTGTATAGAGAACAGATCTCTAATGCATGCATACAAGACATCTGCGGGAGTTGGGTTTACTTTTAGCTTAGCATTGATTGCATATACCAAGTTGAAGTGCTGCTCTTGAGGTATCCAAGCTGCAAAAAGTAATGTGCTGAAGGTATGTGAGTGGAGAAAAAAGGAATGGAGCAGAGAACACTGCAAGTTATTTTGTTGTGTTAAACTGTGTGTTCCAGTTCAACAGAGCAGTTCTGATGCTTGTTGCATCGGTTTTCAGTATCATTTTGAAGTGAAAAGATCCCACAGAATTTCTTAACTCAGAGCTTGTTTTTACGTGTGTTTTTTGTTTATGCAGTACCTGTGGACATCATGTTCATCCCAGTTAGCTCCTCAAAGAAATCATTGATCTCTGTCATTATGACCCCCACATCCACTTATTATCAGAGAACAGTCAGTCAGAACAGTTGCTCCCTCACCTCTGCATGGTCTCCCATGATGTTCCTCCTGCATTGAAGGATCTCTGCACAGTGTGGCAAAGCCCTCCTTCAGCTCTTTAAAATTTGCCTCTCCTGACAAGCCCTGTGTTGCAGCTAGGCAGGTGCAATATGGTATTACAGGAACCTTGTGCTATGCCAGTCTTCTTGCTTATTCTAACTAACTGATCCTTCTTGTGAATGGTTTGTAGCTTCTTTGGAACAAGACATTTTTAATATCATGGCTTCCACAAACAGGCATCCAAGCCTAATGTGAACACTTTACACGCCACCTTCATTCCAAACATAATTTTGAAATATTAAAGACTTTTAAAAAAAAGTGTTGGTGATTCAGTTATGCTGCATAGGAAGAAGTTGTTTTTGACTTCTTAGTTGTCTAGAGCTTATTTGTTGTTTTCTTCCTTGTGTAAGACCTCCTCAGGGGAATATCTGCCCACCAGGGAGCTAACTAGACTTCGAGGACAAAATAGATGAGAGTTTTTACTCTTCTCTTTTTCATGGAGATTGCATAAAGTTATTTTCTGAGAAAGCAGCTATTTATTTTATTGCTTCATGGAGATGGTAAAATGCCCTATTATATTTGTTGGTTCCTTTCTTCTCTGTTACAAGCAGTGAAGAAAAAAATATGGATGAACTCTGCTGCTCTGAACCCTTTAGAGTTCCTCAAAAAACACAGTTTGCTGATGTGATGAGTTTGTGAGACTGCTTAGTGGTTCATCAGTGTAATTAGTCCTGGAGAGACCTGCTTTCTTCTAGCATGAAGCAGTGCAAAACCCAGAAGTTTTAAGTCTAAATTTATCTCAAAGCTTTATTCTCCTTTTAAAATGCCCTGTTTATGTGATGTGCACAAAGAGTGTTTGTATGTTACTGAGAAACAAAGAAAGGGAGACAGAGACAGATAGACCAGGAAATGCAGGAAAATTCCTACTTTCTGTCTGCATTTTGTTTATGAATCTCAAAGAATGGGGTTTGTGTCTATTGTTTGCATGTGTGCTTGACTCCGTCTTGCACTGATCGTACAGATGGTGCTAACAAAAATAGTAGTAGCAATAATAATAATGTGTAATAGTAACGATAACGATAACAATAATGCTACACTGAGTTCCTAATCTCCTAAATTACATTGAAAGCTAATTTCTTCAGCATGTTTGTTTAACTATGTTCCGCAGGTAGATGGAAAAGTCAGCATGAATGGAGAGAATGTCAATGGAGTTGAAGAGAAGGATAAAGAGTGCACGACAGTAGTATTTACTCCTTCGCCAAGCAGATCTCTGAAATTTGATGGAGTAGCCAGAGGGGACAGGCCCCTGGTGGAGTTGCAGAAGGACCCCACAAGCACTGAGCTCGGCTTACAGAGGCCTGCCATTCAGAGCGTGCACAAAGAGCCAACAGTAAGAGCAACATGGGCGAATCGGTCTTATTTTCTCTGCCAATTTTCTGTCTCATAATGTGTTTAATCACTAAATAATGAAACCCTAGTGGTTACATTTGCTTTATTTCAAAGGATGTGCCCAGAGCAGAAAAAAAAATAGCCCTTTATAAATTAAAGTCTTCTGCCTTTGGTCTGTGGGTAGAGAAATGGTATGGGAAGGTTCAAAACCCTTCTGCAGCCAGCACCTTCTCTTTGGATGTCCTGCAGCTGATAAGCGTGCTTTAAATGTGCTGGGCCAGTGAGAAACTGAGTCTGTGTCCCAACTATTGTGCAGATTTATTCAGCTCTTCTCCTGGTGGCAGCTGATTAGATCACCAACATAATTGGGCTGTGTAAGCCATTATAACTAGTCTCAGTTTTCAAATTTCAAAGAGGATCTGAATATGCTGGCAGCTTTGAGCATTCAGCTTTCAGTCCCCTCAGAAATATTAGAAAAGAGGATGAGTTATTGAAATACTCTTGGGTCAATGTGTGTCTTAACTGCCCTATCAAAGAAACAAATTAATTCTAGTTTTTCATCTTTCTCTCCTACTCTTCCCAGGAGAGAAAGGCAGGAAAAAAAATGGAGCATATCGCAGCTTTTTAGATGCTACAAAGTTGTAATAAAAGAAAGTAGATGGTAAAAATAAAACAAGAAATAAGGACTGAACTGCAAATAAAGTGTATGGAAGGAGTGTGAACAAATGGCAGGATGGAGAATTACAGATGTTTTTTGCTCTGTAACCAGAAAGATAGAGAATCAGAGATGTGGTCAGAGCTGCAGTGTGAGAATTTTTGCTTTCATCTCAGACTTCTTCTGAGCATTGGCCAGGTGGATGAGAGAGAGAGCAGGCAGCTTTCTGTCACAGGGAGTGATGGCTCATTCATGCTGAGGGGTTTGTGCCTTATCACGTTTCCCTGCTTCATGCCAGTCTGCAGCGAGCATGGGGCTGTGTCGTGAGCACAGACGTGGTTCTGTCAGAGGGAGTGGGTGCAGAATTGAGTGGGTGATTTGCAGGAAAGCAGGCAGACCTGGCAGAGCAGAGACCACTTGTCTCCCAGGGGGAAGTCAGGTAAGCATTGTGTCTCATCTGGGAGAACTGGTATTGGAGATGCTTGGAGGATAAAGAGAAGGGCCTCAGCTTGATGTAGGTTAGAAACACAGTGGCAATCAAAAAAAGTAGCTGAATAAAAGTGTTACTGTCCCCTTTTTAGGATTTCCAGGCAAACACAGCCATGGAAGCATTGAGAGGAAACCCAACAGTAGCGTCCATGTTACAGCTTGGGCCTGTTTGTACCTGTTTGGTGCCCTGTCAAATGTCTGCGTCTGGTGTTCTGCCTGCAGGTCTTAACCCTAGTGGTAAAATTGGCAGAGGAAGCTGAATGGCGTGAATTCTCAGAGTCCTTGCACACAAATAGTGCCATTCTGCTCCTTCTAGTTGTTTGTTTCTGTTCACCCAGATACTTCTCAGTTTTAATTTTCCAGTCTTCCGTGATTTAGACCAAGTCAGAGGCAGTAACAACTGTTGCAGGAGTTTCCTAGTTCACGCATGCATGGTAAGGGCTTAGGTGCCATGTTGCAGAGATGGGGCATGGTAATGACACTCGGTGTCTTCACCAAGATTTGGCTTGTGTGCAGGGGCATGGGCCAGCACTGCTGGGCAGGTCAGTGCGGTGTGAGAGGTGTGGGCCTCACCTCTCTGGTGACTTAACTGCTGTGCTGCCTCTGTGAGAAGAGAACTCGGCCCCGCTGGCCACTCTTTGTGCTTGCGAGAAAGTAACTAGTGCAGCACTTCGCGAAAGAAAAGGAGTGTTGCTTTATAATTTAAGCATGTGCTTAATGTGACCCATTCGTAGAGATTTTTGTCTGATGCTTAACCCTACTGAGTTTTTAGGAGAGAATGAGAAGACAACAGAAATAGGTATAGAAAAGCAGCCAAGATGAAGAAACAGAGTTATCTGGAGTGGAAGAAATCAAAATATTTTTTCGCTGAGAAAACTTACATGAATAAATGCAGATGAGCCTATTTCAAAGCCTCTTTTAACTTTCTTTCACTGCCTCTATTTGTACATTTTCCGTCACTGAAATAGTTCAGAGACTTGTTAGCTTTATCCTTCCCAGCCTTTGGATAAAACGCAAAGGCACTAGCCTACTGCCTCTTGAGACATGCTGTTTCTAGCTTTTCTTTTTTTCCCTCTAGGTGCTCTGACGCTTGTGTTGTTTTTGTATTTTATCTGTTTAATTTGTGTCCCGACTCTCTGTTGTGAGGTTGTATAATCCTCTGATATGTGTGTGTGTATATATATATATATTTATATATATATATGTATGTTTGAATTCTCTTCCTGCTCATTGCATGCCCCTTCCTCCTCCATCCTTTCCTATGGCTGCTCCCCCGCTATTTCAATTCAGCTGTCAAATTGACTGGCCCTGTCTTCTCTCCGCCTGGCAGCCTTCCCTTTGAAGCTGCGTAGCCCTGCTCTAAATCTGCCTGCCTGGCCTCAGGCCTTGTCGGCAGGATGGGAAGACGCTGTGCAGCTGCACTGCCACGGCCCTTTTGGCCTGAGCTTGAGAAAACAGCTTAGTCGAGTCGCACCACCCGAAACACTTGCATGATTTAGGTTTTGCCGGAGGTTAGAGAGGCCTAGGGATCGTTTCGTGTAGGTAATTCCTCGGGTTCTGTTGTATTTCTGATGGAGGGAAAAAAAACACCTGTGGTAATGGCTGGCGGACATTGGAAATGTATCCAAGTCCTGCCTAAATTTACTGTGAAATGAGATGCAGAAAACTGCAGCGAGTGGAAAGGATAGTAAAGAGAAATATTTTCAAGAATACATACTTCATCTATAATGTATACATAGAATACTTGAGTACTTCGAGAAAGAGAACTACCTTTGTTCAAAGTATCTTTGAAAGTTCCTATGGTTCTGAAGGCCGACTTTGCAAAGCAGGGTGAATTTGCCCTATAAACCAAACGAAAATATCTCACTAGTGGCTGTGAAATGCTGTTAAGAGAGCCAGTAGGCAAAGTACACCTGGCTTTGCAGATGGAGAGATGGAGGCCAAGGCTGAAGCCCTGCTCATGCTCCAGCAATAACGCCAGCATCTTTAGGTTGGGCTTTCTGCTAGCAGTTATGCACATTATAAATGCTGAGAAGTTGTATCCACTAGTTCTTTGAATTAAAATTGTCAGAGCAAATTTTCTCTTTCAAAGCAGCATTCATACAGATTTTCATGTGGGGAGATTAATTTGTCAGTGAGTAATACCACTTTATTGGAACCAATCCTTGTATGGCTATTTAGAAAATAGTAGATTGTTACAGCTCTAATTAAAACTCTGCTTTGAACAACGAAAAAATGAATAAAACTGGACCTAAACAGCAGTTTTTAAAAGGTAGAGGCCAGGATGGAGGAAAGAGGTTTGGAGTTTCCTTTAATTTTTAGTTAGCCAGCTTAAACTTGTCCATTTCTAGTCACTGCATGCTTGGCACCAAAGAAACTTTTTTTCTTCTATATCCAAGTTACACTCTCCTTCATCTTCAAAAATCCTGGTTGAACTGAGATTAAAGCATAAGCTTTCATGTGGTTGTGGATTCTTGGCCAAGCTACAGCAGAGCTGGGTTGAAATCCCGACTTGTACATATCTGGTAGGACAAGTCTTTGTTCCTTGATTCATGACAAGAAACACTTGAAGAGTAAGTGCATGTATGCCAGATCAACAACAACTCCTTAAAACGCACATAGGAAGCTGGACTATCTAAAAAAGAGTTTGGAATGAGAAGTGAAAGCAACAAAACTTCTGATCAGGCAGAATGAGACCCTGTTGGATTTGATTATGAGCCTAAAGTCCAGATCTCTCATCTTCCAGACCCCCCATGAGCTTTTTAAATTGGCGAGTGACAGGAGCTTATCCCATATCCCAAATGAGCAATATTAACTCTAGCAAATGTCATCTGGAATGGTTCTGTGACTCGGAGAGAGGAATGCCTGATATTATTTCTTGAAAAACTTTCAAGTCTTTTCTTTAAACTAGAGATCCACCCTGATCTTTAGTTATAAAGAGCGATGAATGAAAGAGGCAGATGGTTTAATGTGTCTTGATCAGGCTGCGGTACTTGCATTGGCAAAGCTCTTTGCTGTGGCAGCCAAGTCAGGTCAGAGTTACCACTCACAGTGACAGAAAATGCTAGCTTTGATTAGGATATTGTATCAAAAAAAAAAAAATCTTAAAGGATAACCTGGAAAATAATGGTATGTATACAGTTTCAATAATAGCACTTTAAAAGATGTCACATAATTTTTACATATGGCAAATTGTACTTACTGCAACCAATTTCATTCCTGAGTGATTTTACAGCCTTTTATCTGTATTTCCTAACTTAGTTCTTACAGTTTTCTCTTCATTTTTTCCTGATTATGGATAGGGTTATTTTGCCCTATTTTATTTTGCCCTAATTATTTTGCCATATTTTCACTTGCTCTTATGTGCAAGTAGTGTTAACTAATCTACATTTTGATTTAATTTGCATTAATAAAATTCTAGTTCAACTTCCTTTGAAGATTGGACTTCACTCAGCCCAATACTGCTCTATCTTGAAGTGGTGTTTGGTATCTTAGGAGTTCTAGTTACTACATTTGCAGTGTTTTGCAAGGAGAAGAGGTTCAGCCACGGATATTTCTGAATTGTGTAGTCTTAGTTAAAGAGATTTCTTGATTGATATCCTACTTAATGGGATAAAAATTCTAACCACCACAAACCAGACTATTTTATTAGCACATCAAGCAGGCATTTGTTAGCACTATAAATTCAGCTGTGCATGTCTTTTTGCTAAATGCATACCTTGGCTAGGGAAGCAGAAGTGATGTTTTGTCTTCTATTACGATTTGCTTGTAATTGCAAATGCAATTGCAATATTTAACTTTTGATTATTGCCTAAGGCTTCTAGAAAGTAAACAGAGGAAGCTCTCTTTAACTCCTAAGTAGCTAGATACATAGAGTAACCTAAAAACACTGCTCCATGGTACATGACATTCTTCAGTTTCCAAGAGTCAGCTGGACAAAGCCTTTGCAGCAGCCAGTGACCTGGGGGCAGAGCGATTATACGATACTTAGGAGATGTGAATGCTAGTTCAGCAGTAGGAAGGGAGTTGTATTGGTTATAACAGTAAAAAAATTGTTCTAAATAGGTCACACAGCTGTGGGTAAAATACTAGATAATATTACCTAGTGTTATAAATAGTAATAGATATACTGGGAATGGGAGTTCCCCAGTGAAGCTGATTTAATTTTTTTTTGTAAATTACCTACTAATCAGTTTTATATTTTTAGCTTTATGTTGCTAGCATATAATTTCTCAGCAGAGAAAGGAAGAAAAATCAAGTCTCATGAGCAGGAATAGAACTTCTGCGTGACTCCTCTATGTCATCTCAAAAAAAAAGTTTTTTTTTTTTAACTAAGTAGCTCTTTTTTATCTTCTTACTTCTCTTTGGAAGTGCTTCTATAAATAGCACCTGTATCTATGCATGGCACCTCTATCTCCATACTTGATATAAGGATTGTAGGCTCATCTAGTAACTACACTTAGGCAGGATAGCATAGGGTTATGCTTTGGAACAGTGGGTGGAGTTGTCACACAGGTGCCTTTTGCTTTTCTAGCTAAAATCTACTTGGATTTTGGCAGGGAGTTCAAGAAAATAGCTATTTGTGCAAGTTTACTGGAGATTTGCAGATTGTACAGTCTCATGATAGTTCACGTTTGGGGTCTGCAATCCAGGCTCTTGCTCAAAGCATCAATGTCCATGAGGTCAAACCAGGCAGCTCAGAGTCTAATCTAGTCGTGTCTTGAAAATCTCCACGGACAGACACAGCACAGCCTTTCTGCACTGCCTGCTCCGCTGCTGGGTTGTCCTCATGGGGAAAAGAAGTGCTTCCTTCCCCATTGATCATGGCCAAGGCTGGTGATGAACAGAAGATTTCCAGCAGTTACTGCCCTGGCTGCTGTCATTTCTGGAGCCAGAAGTGAGGTCAAAGAAGACATTTTGCTTGAGCTTTTCTTGTGTTTTTCTTGGCTGGGCCTGAGGAAGTGGGAGAAAACTCAACTGCAGCACAGACCGGTGCCAAGGTGGGGTTGCAAAGAAGGGAGAGGTAGTTTAAACAGTGGAAAAGAGCACCTGAGAACTGTGAGGGACAAAGCTACCAGAGGACAGGACTTGAGTGAGGGCAGCATTTCTCTGGAGCCTGGTTTTTAACCAGCACCTCCTCTCATGGCTCTGTCCCTTCCTGGCACGTGGGACTCATGGGGGCGAGGTGGAGCCTGCTCCCTCTTGCAGATGTCCATGGCACCATGTCACCTGGCCTGCAGCACAGCAGTGGGAAAAACCTGTGCAGCCAGGCAACATGCCCTGCTTATTTATTTATTTATTTATTTTTCTGTTGGATGCATCCAATCCCAGGTCTTGGATGTGTTAGAAGTCCTGTGCAATAGCTGGTTGGTTTGCTGCAGGTTTCTTGGTTTGCCTTGGTTTACTGGGAAGCTGTTAAATAAATCAACTGAAGTGCTACTGTTTTTTGGTGTTTTTTGATGCAACAGCCCTCTCCTGGATCAGGAAGCTTTCTGCATAAATTGCCTCACAAAGGACTTGGGTTATTGGCTTAATATGGTCTCACCATATTTTTTGACCCTTCTTAATAATGTTTCAAGTATTTATTACCTTTAAAAGGAACTCTGGCTTTTCCCTTCAGATGACAGATTGTGTAGGCAACCGTGGGATAAAGGAAGTATTTAATTATTTTGTCACTTTTAAAACTTTAGAAAGTGCTATGTATTGACTAATATGTAAGTTGTTATGTTATTCTGTTAGAGAGAGAACAAGGAGTGAAATGTATGTTTATCAGCTAAGACAGTTCGAAATATCCTACTATTTTTGAAAATTTGTGTGTGCTATTCCAAAGCAACTGTGTAATGGGTGCTGATGTGTTGAATGGGTGTTGAACCATTAGGAAAGGACGTTAAAGCCCAGTAACTCCACACCAGAGTAGCACATAATTCCCAGCACTTTGCTTCCTACTGAGCTCAATCATATACAGTTTTGTTCAAATATATTATAACAAAGCAGCAAGCATTGCCTTAAGGAATTGACAGGTACTTTTATTTCCACTGCAGTTGTCATGTTTTCAACCATGCCGTTCTCTGCAGGCCTCTTCAGTGGACGAAGATGCAGCAGCCAGCCATCAGGTTGGGGCTGGCTCTGGAAGCGCAGGATCTGTGAGCCTGGTGTGTGCTTCCCCAGGTGAGCTGCTGCTGCCCAGGGCTTGCCCGTGCCCCGACCCCTGCCCTTGCCCTTGCCCTTGTCCTTGTCCTTGTCCTTGTCCCTGCCTCTGCCCTTGCCCACCAGCAGGCTAAGGCCACTCTGCAGCTGGAACAAAATAAGTGCATCCTCAGCGGCACCCAGAGGGTTTGTCAGGAAATGCAGAGTGTCTCCAAAATGACAAGCCTAACCGCGCGTTGCTTTGGTTGCACACTGACTGCTTGCTGCTTGTGTGTGGGAATAGCTGCTGCAACCAGAAAGTCATCAGGGCAGAGGCTGTCACTCAGTAACACCCTGCGCTTAGCCCATGTTTTTTTTCTCAAGATGCTAAAGAATGAAGTACTTAAGTCCTCCTTCCAGGGGCTTGCAGTTGGAAGTGAATTAAGTCAATGATACTGTGCACACTGTTGATTTTCCACAGTAAAGACTTTAGTGTGGAAGGCAGGACCCCAAATCAGGGGAATGCAATTTGCTTCTATCTTTCTCTATTGCATTTGAGGCTACTTTCCCCAATAGCATAATAGCATTCATTTAATCTACCGCATAGTATCGTACTAAGTTCTTTTTGTTGATGTTATATATATAAATTTTAAATGGGTCTATCATAGTTTATTGTGGCATGGGTATGTAAAAGGTAAAAGTCAAAGCAGATTTTTAAATGAAATCTCTTCCTATAAATGTTATGTAAATATATTGCACTGCTCATCAAACATGAAATTACTTAAGCAATTAAGGTTTGCCATCAATTTAATATAGTACCATCACCCCATGAGTAGAAGCACACCCAGCCTTTTTCTTGAGCTGCTGCAAGTCTCTAAAGCACATGGACTAAGGCTGACTCAAATACTTGAGGGGCTCACAGATGGAAACAGGCAAGCCTTTCAGATAGATAAGTCATTGTATAGCAGCACAGAGCTTAACAGTCTTGAATTGCACCTGACAGGTAATACAGAAGTCTTGGCTTCGCTGAGGTTAATTTTGCCTGTGTTGAGAGATTATTTTTAAAAACATCTAGTTGATGAGCTTATGGTATACCCGGTAAGAAAAGAGATTGTAAGAAATAGGACACTTTATTTGAAAAAAAAAAATCTTAACTTTGCAACTTTGCCTCTTGTATGTGTGGATTAGTTTCAGATCAGAAGCAGTCTGAGTCAACTGCAGCTTGTGCCAGCCCTATTGTGACCACCTTAGAGTTACCCGCTAGCCCCATCCCTTTGGAGGAAGCTGCTTCCAGTGAGAAGGATGCGAAGAAACCCGAAAAGGACCCTCAGAAGGAGGCCCAGCTCCCTGCTACGCAGGAGGTGCGTCAGGGCAAGGAGGAGAGGGAGTGGAAAACAAAACCAGACAGAGGAAGAAAGGGCTCTTGGGCAAATGTCCATTGCACAGGCCCTAATTGGTGTTTTACTCAGCCGTGTCACATCAGAGGTTCATTCAAAGCAGCCTGCAAGTGAATGACCCCAGAGGATGGTTTCACTGCAGAATCAGCTCGTATTGGAGAGCTGCCCTGCAAAGAGAGCCCCCAGGGTCTGCTTGCAGCATCCAAATGTGGAAATTGTCAGGAGCAGAAAAGGGAACTTAGCCTGCAAACTCCTGTCCCTCTAGATTGTGGGAGAGCATAGTATGCAGGGAGCGTAAAGAGAGGAGCCTGCAGTTTGGCAGGTGATGCCAGAGCTAACAACTAACCAGCCGTGACAGTCCTGCTCTGTCAGGTACGTTAGGGTCTTGGCCCTGGGTCACGATGGGCTCTGGTGTGCAGAACACTATGAATATTTCAGGCAACAACACACAACTGGCAGTTATTTCCAGGACCTCAATATTGCAACTCCACATTATAATTCAGGAAGTTATTAATCACTGTTAATCAATGATAATGCTGATTCAGAAAATAAGTTGAAAGGGCCTTTGATTGCGCTTGCTGATCTTTGTATATCGTGGTCTGATCCCAAATGTCCAAACAGGTGATGAAGCCAAAAGCCCTGGAGCCAGAGGGGAATGTAGTATTCCCCTTTTTAAAGAAACTACCTGAGACCAGCCAAGTTTCTCTGCAGAATTCTGATCTACAAGGTGAGCAAAAAGGGAATGTGGGAGCTGTGGAGAACACAACTGAACGATACTGGAGAACTTACACATGGCATTCTGGGGGTGGTCACTTAATCAATGACTCAAAGTTTTTGCAGATAGCTCGTGTCCGGTTGCATCTGACTGGTAGTAGTAGTGTGTCTGTGATGGAAGAAAACTCTTCTTGCTGTTCCCCATAAACACAACAGCAGAATTGTGACTCGAAGGAGGCACACAAGGAAGGATCAGCGCTATCTTGCATGTATCTGGCTTAGCATCAAAAAGTTACTATATTAATGGGTGTCAATTTAATACTACTGTTGCCTGGAGAAAGTGGTGGAGCAATTGGCTTTATCTGGTAACAAGAACTTCTAGGGATAAATTCTGCATGCAAACTGTTCACACATGGTGGCTTTTTATACGTAACTATGCGTACATGGCTACAGCTCTCAATTTGATCCATATACATCAAAACTTCTTTAAAAATGATTTTTTTTTATTCTCATGACAAAATTGTGTTTAAGACAGATAATGTGTAGTAGTTTTATCCATAGATTTTGGATAGATTTTAGAGATGCATATGTTTAGGTATTGTTTAAAAAAGAGAGGGAGAGAGGAATTATCTGAAGTTTTGTTCTCCAATACCTTGTTTGGTTGCTAGCTTGTGTATTGGTAATATCGTGATTCTCCCAGTGCTTTCAAGATCAACTAAGGGTGATCAGGATGAAAAACAGGACTATCTGAAAAGGAATGGCTGTCTCACGTGGTTTAAGCGGGGAGATGCTTTGCACACAAGCAGCTGCTTTCTGCTAAGCGCAAATCGATCCAAACATCAGGTAGCAGAGGGCAAGCGCTTCTTGGGTTTCCTGAGCGATGCTGGAACGCTTGGCTGCTCTCCAGCATGGGAAGGGTCCTGGGGTCCCCCAAACGCGCATCTCCAAGAGAAATGCAACGTGAGCAGCACGCATGGGGGGGCTGCCCTTAATGAGAC